GATTTTACCTACAAATTTTCTACGCTAATTAAAAAAATACTAAGGATTCATTATTAAAATTATACTAAATTTAGATAAGCTCTTGCTTATAAGTTCATATTTATCTTATCTACGCCATTTTCATTTTTTACACCTACTCTTTAAAGATTATTTTGCTAGGTTTGTAATTATTCCATTATAACAATATCCTCTGGATGAAATAATTAGAATTTACGCAAGATTTAGTTTTTGCCTGAGCTTAAATATGCAGGAAATTATTGGAGAAAAACTGAAGTAATAAACCATGAATCTGCCTCTTAACCATCGTTAACATCATTGCTTGTAAGTAAATCCGTTCCATTGAGAACACCAAGGCCGAGGTATCCAAGTCCGCAGATTGTACCGAAAGCATATGGAATGATGAACCAGATCATCGCTCCTGCCAGAATGCCAAATACACCTTCAAGTGGCTTTGCTGCTGTGCTAGCTTGCCAATAGGATTGATCCGGGAATACAGTTGCGATGCTACCTGGAAACCAAAATATGTAGCAATAGCAGAATTACTATATTAAATTAATATTACTGCAAAAATATCAGTTAAGGCAGTTTACATTGCTTTTTATGCCAAATTGCAGTGCCGTCTAAGTATAATAAGTCTTTATGCTAAAAATGTGAAATGTCTACCTATTTTACTCCTAGTGACTATTTTATTCATAATATGATCTTACAAATATTATTGAGTCACATAGCTAGCTAAATCTAATGAACAGCACAAAAGTGTGGATTTACTTGTTGCATGGATTCAGGCAACAAGGGTATTTTTGAAAGTAATCAATTAAAGGGGAGACCTGCCTTTTACCTATAAGATTATTGCAATACTTATTCAAAAATAGGGCTTTAGTCTACAGTGGATTGAAATCATAAACTTATATAACCCTGGTAAATAATCCTCCTAAACTATAATCAGCACAGAAATTAGATCCGTTGAGTTATGTGGAAGGAATAGCATTTAAGGTAAGGACATTTATGGTGGGACACATATTTATGGGGTAAACAAGGTTGTAAATATTAGCCTCCATCATGAAATCATAATAAAGAGCCAAACAGTTTATATCTAATCTTATTGTAGCGATGCAAATAAAATATACAATTGACCTTCGAATTGAGGAAGCTCTGCCTTGTCTTAAGTACTGTTTCCTCATTTTAGTTCACTTTCAGTTAAGGCCTATGGCCAATACTAGTATCTCTATGGCTGAATATCACTTTTCCAATAATATACATAAAATGGAATCAATAAAACTCTTTAAGGAGAACTTTTAGACAGCTTACATAAATATTCTATAAAGCTCTTATGATTTCTATCATAAGCTTATAGTAAAATTTAGGATACTATTTGACTTCAAAACATAAATCTATATAAATCTAACATTTTATGAATTAAAGGCTATATTTGTCTATAAATATCACTTTTCATACCAATAACGTTGATGATTCCGAACATAAGGCCGTCCTTTGATAATATTGTCAAATAACTCCCTTCGAAATTGTTATCCGGCCTGATTCGGCAATGAAGAAGGTTATATAGGTATCGAAGAGAACCTAAGTAGAGAAGGCAAAGAAAAAAGATTCCCCAGATTAAGGGGAAATAATTTTAAAAATAAATAAGCTTTAAGTAAAAGGGGATGATGAAAAGAATATAAAGAAATGAAAAGTTTTGCTATTGTAGGAAAGTTAAGGTAAAAGTATTGCATTTTCATAGCATACATAATGAAAAGGAATATCCTCCTAAGGCATTCAGAATTTATCGATATTCTTACAAGGAAGCCAAGATCCTGTTCTCTTGGGTCTCTTTTATCAGTAAGAAATAAATACACATCTTAAATCTTATTTCAAGTGGCTTATCTTATGGAAAATCTAATAAATATTGACAGTAGACTTTATCTACATAATTAAGGTGTCTAAATAGTGAGAAGCAATATAACATATTGTTACTTGAAATTTAGATACCTACAGTACATCATTTTAGCCTCATTTTTGTGCT